GGAGAGAAGGAAGCAAAGGTGTTCCCAGCTACGGCACAAGCGTCCAAGGACACACCAAAAAGGAAGGGCTCCCAGCTATGACGAAAGCATCCAGGGACGCCCAAGGAAGAGGGTGAAGAGAGGAAAAAGAGAAGGAAAGAAAGAGAGAGGGAGAGAAAGGGAGAGGAGAGAAAGGAAGGTGTTCCCAGCTACGAACAATCGTCCAGGGACACACCAAAGAAAGAAAGGGGTGATCCTGAGTATTAAAGAGAGAAAGGGGGCGGGAAGGGGGAGAAGGGGGCTAAGTTCTCCACAGGTTCCAATGAACCTTGAACAAACTTCGGTCGCTGCGACCACGTACGGCATGCCCGAGGGCGGCCACCTCTGACCGCTGCGGTCACGTGAAGGCATAAGCCAGCTTGGAATTCCAAAGATGGGACAAAAATCCAAATTCTTGTGGCATGAGCCAGCTTCGCCCGCTGTGGGCACTTACGTTTCCAAAGCAAGGGAAACAACGACAAACCCCCGTTCGACGGGTCCACGGGAGGCACTCTGCGGGCTCATCCCGGGTTGGCACGAGGCCAAACACACCTATGGATATGAGTACTGACTTGATAGCGGTGCCACACGCCAGCCATAGGGCCTGAGGTGTCGGAAATAGTAGGTTAAAGGCCAACGGTTTTGGGTTGGAGGTCAACGCGAGGCTGTTGGGGGCCAAGACCTAAGGTTGGAGGCCATCGCTAGTAGGCGGTGGACCATAGATACAAAGCGACAGCAAAAGCAAAGTTGGAGGTCATCGCTAGTAGGTTGGAGGCCAGGGTACCAAGTTGGAGGCCAGCGCTACCAGGTTAGAAAGCACAAGAAAAACCACAAGACAGTCAAAGTTGGAGGTCCTTGCTAGTGGGTAGGGTAGAGGCCAGGGTACCAAGCTGGAGGCCAGTGCTACAAGGTTACAAGAAGCACAAAAGCACAAGAAGCACAAAACAGCAAAACAGCAAGTTGGGGGTCAATCTAGTGGGTGGAGGCCAAAGTTCAGGTTTAAAGAACCCCTTACAAACCTGTAGAAAAGCCTAGAGGAAAACAGAAGGAAAGGCACCGACACACAAGTGTGTCGAGTACCATTTCCTCCTGTTTTCCTAAATAGTGGAACAGGTACACAGTGGGGCGTCCCCCACTGCATCAGCACCTGCTGGCATCCTCTTCGTTGGACGGGAAATGCCAGAGGTGTCCCGTCCCCCTGTTCCAAACCTTAAGGTTCCCTTTGATTCCAAGGGTGTTACACACACACACACATCCGCTCACACGCAACATCACTTGCGTGCACTCTCGCAGGCACTTGCACCCGACCCACACAGCACGGCACCTCGTGCAAGTGTTGTCGCCGCTGCCGCAGCCATTGTGCCGAAGGCCGCGTGGTGAGCCATCGCAATGCCGTCCAAGCGCTGCGCGTTCGCAAGCGCATAGAATACAAAAAGTGAAACACAAAATGAGAAAATGCTCCTCAGAAAACCTTCCATTGAAATGCTCAAACCACTTTGACGACCCCAGCGTTTCAGCATCATCGGTAACCAGAGTTGTGTGGGACAAAGAACATCCAACCGCCTATTGTCCACTCAGAGGCAGATCGAATGGAGGGGCAAAAACGGCCTAAGTTCAATTTGTGTGTTCGGTTTGTGTTGCGAACATTAAATCAAGATAGAAAGCCTTCACGACGGCTGCGGAGGGTCTGGGACACGTTGACTCTACAAAAGACATCACACGACTAGAGAGAGAGAGAGAGAGAGAGAGAAAAAAAACTCCCAAAACATCCCAAAACAATTCCAAATTCCAAGAAGAGCTCAGGTCCTGGGGCTTTCCGCCTTTGTTTCTGCTTTCTTTTCTTTTGCTGCTTCTTCTGCCTCACGGGAAGCAATCTCAAGTTGCTTGCGCTCCTTCTGTCGTCGTGTTGTCTAACTCTTGTTTGTTCCCCCCACATCTTCTTGCAAAACAACCTTATCATTCTGAGGCTCCATCCAGAATCTCCTCACCTGGCGAATGTTTCTAGGAAAAGCTGCCAAAGCCAAGAGTTGCGGTAAAGGCGCAACAGCAACGCCTTGGACCTTGGACATCACTCTAAACATGGCCAAGCGGCGGCACAGCAAGAGCTGCCTCCGCCGGCCAAAGGGCTCAAGCCCCATCAATTCCAGCTCAGCCTGCAAAGCCCCCACGTTTTTGAAACTCCATATCAACATCAATCTACAGTACTAGCAATGGTCTCCAACCTAAAATGCGATGGCCTCCAACCTAAAAAGATCCAACCTAATAGCGATAGCCTCCAACCTAAAAGCAATGGCCTCCAACCTATATAATAGCAATTGCAATTGCCTCCAACCCAAAAGTGATAGCCTCCAACCTACTAGCGTGGCCTTCAACGCCTCCAACCTAATAACGGCTATATTCATGCTATATGCTAAATTGTGCGTCGCAATTTCTTGCAGCCTTGTTCACAACATGCCGACATCCGTTTACATGACCTACTTTCCTCTCTGCACCTCATCCAAACTTCGAAGCACTTGTCCTGTAACTTCCTGCTGCCGAAGCCAAGTTGCCACCTGACATGGACCGTTCGTGGCTTGCATCGATTCAGCTCAGCGTAGCCCGGTTACACAGTCTGGCGGTCTTTGGTCCCAAACGCTTGAGACGATCAGTCTTTGCGAGCCCATCACGCAGCACTCAGGGAGAAGTTTTATTGCTGGGGAAGTCTGTGACAGTGAGTAACACTATGGAAGTCAGTGAGCTACGAAATGCATTTGACAAAAGCTATAGCTCACTATAGCTGCTCCGTCTGCAAGTGCTGCCCCACTTGGACGGCAGGAAAGCAGCATCTCAACTGGTACTGCGCAAGTCATTTCACACGTGCTTAAAAGCAGCACCAGGCCGCAAACCAGCCTGGTGGATGATGGGATGTGGGGATTTCAGAACAGATTTATGAAATGACTTTGGCACCAGCGTCACAAGCTGTTCCTCCACTCAAGCAGCTTAACTCGCAACAGCGGAGCAGATCAAGCTCTCACGATGCAAAGACCAAGCATTACCGGCTCAATGTGAAACGCTGCCGGCCCCTGGGCCGCCTAGGCTGCTTTTCATAGCTTTTCTATCTTTGTCTGATGGATAAAACCTTTCAGTTTTGTTGGGCTTGTTGCCCGACGTGAAGTTTAGATAAGTTTAGCCTATCCCCAGTTGGGTCCAGCTCGATGCGCTTAAGCCGTCTCACCGAATTTAATTGCATGGAAACCTTACTTACCAGTCCTCCCCCTTCAGTCGAAAGCCTTTGCTGCGCAACATTTCTGGCAGCTGATTGTAGCCTGGGCCGCAGGGAGAGAAAAGCAACTGTGCGGAATGACCTAGTACAACCGCACAAGGCTTGCAGGAAAGCGGCTATAGTGTGTGAGGTCAATCCTGTCCTGCAAGGAAAGAACTTGTAACCATAAACCACCTCTTGCAAATTCAAGAATGTCTATTGATGCTTTTGGAACTCTTTCTGTTTTCGGTCCTTTTCGTGGCCACTGTCATCTAGCACAATGAGGTCAGGATTGTGCCCCTGCACCCATTGCACCTGGCTCCATGCCACACAAGTGGTTGGCAGCCCGCACCCCCAAAGGCCCGGTCTTGGCATTCCGATTTTGCTGTCAGGGACAGAAATGAAAGATCAAATACATACATTGAAACACAATAAGAACAATCATACAATTCTGGTTTCATTTTTGATCACTCGCAATTCCATCTTAATATCATGGAACAAGGGATGGCAAGGATGGACGAGCGGGACTTGCGTCAAGCACATCTGCAAAGCAAAGGTTTACGACAGTCGAAAATGTCAGTGCTGCAAAGGTGCATCTAAATTCTGCCATTCATTCCAGCGCTCTTCATCTCTCAGCCATCTCCGAACATCAGCGAAATGATTGAGCCTGCAAAATGTCAGGTAGGTCACAATGTCGCAGTAGTTCTAGATCTTATGGGTCTCCCCTGCTTTTCTGCAGGGAAGGCTGATTCTGTTGCTGTGACCCGGGCAGGTAGCAATTGCTGAGTCTGGCACTTTCAGCCCTGACAAGAAATGATATTGCCCCGTGCAGCTGGCTTCATTAAACCTTGGAAAATATATGGATGGTCCACAGCCACTCGCGTCCACTCCAGTTGCATTCGAGTTTCTGCTGACCTCGACCACTTTGCAAGCTCGGTCCTGCCGTGAATGGAGGCAGGTCTTATTCAATTTGACGCGGCACAGAGTTGAAACCGACAGCTTGAACTGTCTCAACTTACAGGGCTTAGCAGCTTGGCTTTGAGAAGGCAATTCCGCTTGGTCTACAGATGCCATTTGTGGATTCAACGGCGTCTGGCTCGAAAGTTTGCTGCTAGCTGCTATGTGCTATTGCGCCTAAAGTGGAAACAGTTCACGGAACGGGCCATGCTCAAACCCGCAGCCTCACAGTGCCCGTCAGCATCACATGATTGTGCTCCACATCCTTTGGTGGAGCAAGGCTGCCTTAAATGTGGGCTAAACTTGCAACAGTTAGAGGCTTGAACCACACTATATATACACCAACAATGGTCTTCTGATCTCTGCCAAGGGCCGTGCACGCATGCCGCAATTGCTATGGCGCACAGAATCGCCTCAAAAACAGACAAAAACGACAACAAAAGCTACTAGGGGCTCCTGGCCGTACTACTAGGAGCAAGGACGCTTC